ATCAACATGCCTCCTCTGTAAGGACAGCTTAATCAGGAGCTACTGGTATCATGTACCAAACAACTTCAAGGGGGAGGGGAGAATAAGCCTCAGCACTCCCACACTGACCATCTAACCAGAAGCCAAAAACATGGTTGTATAAGCCAAAACATGGTTCTGCAACCAAGATGTGACATAGCATTTCCTACCCAAAATTTAGTTTCTAAATTTTAGGAGGAAAACAGAGGTAATGGAGAGGAAGCCTGGTCCTGGGATTATGGCTTTGGGCTGTGGAGAGAGAGGTAGTTAGCTGTGTTAGTCTAAAGTTAAGCAGAAGGCAGAGTAGATTTGCACCTTTCTAAGCTGTCTAAATCAGAGATGCATTGCATAAACTTTCATAAGCAGTAGGCTTCAGGTGAGTTGGGCTGGGGCCAAGGAGACCTACCGAGGTTGAAATCTTGGCTCAGATACAGACAGCCTGAAAGTCCTGAATAGATTTTGGAAGGTACTTGGATACACCTAAGGATGCAGACCGACACACAGAAAGCATGTAGAGAGTACAAAAGTACATAATAACCTGATGCCCACTGATTTCAGTATAGCGTTGTTACAAAGTGCAGACCCCACTAGTTTACAACCTGAGGGATTCCTTGGTCTGTGCTGCAATAATGCAATGTACACACCAGATTCTAAGGGCAAAGGAAAAAAGCTATCCTCTGAAAGTTTGAGCCGTCTCCTTTTCCTCATACCTTTAATCAGTCAGGCAGTCTGAGCATGTTTTATACCATTCCCCCTTCATGCAGAATGATTGTAATGGAGCATCAAACAGGCACTCACGTGACTGCAGCACAGATAGGCATGGAGAAGCTTAGAATAATTTTGACATCACTTATAAACTATAATTATTAATTTGAGTCGCTCCAATGATAATGCAGGAAAATTGCTGGGGGGAAAAAAGAGCGGAAATTATATAAATTTCCACCTTGGTGCTTTGAGGAGTAATGTGATCTTTTGATTTTTACTGTAAATTAACCTTCATATTATATTTATTGGAACTTGGGTTTCCATTTACATGGAAAGGGATGCTTTCTGCCAGATGTAACTTTACAATCCCACCTTCAAACCCCATGGAGAGAGCATGCTCAGGAGAAACTCTCAGTGAATACAAATAAAAAATGAAAGTATAAATAATCACTTTTTTCCAAGCAGTCCTGCACCTTGTTTTACCCAAGGTGACCTGAGAGCAAAGAAATGCATTAAGTAGTCAGATTCCTGAACAGTTCCTGGCATTGTTTTTCATTGGTGGTGTTCATGTGAAATAAAAAATCCCTAATTTGCCCATAAGCTTTAATACACAATAGATCCAATTATATATTGGAGACAGTCTTTAACTGAGACTATTTTCACTATAATGGGTATGAAATATGAGTGTTTATTTATTACTGAAGCTTCCCAGCCTGAACAAAACATATGAATAATTAACAAGGCAAATTAATTGAAAATATAATTAAAGATGGAAGTATGAAAAGCTGAAAGAAACATGACATGACAGGGGCAATCTACCATGGCTTTTGTAAAGCCTCTCCTACCCATTAGATTTTTTTGAGGAAGTCAGCAAAAGAGTCAAAAGCGTAAAATGGACATAATATCATTAATTTGGATTTTCAGACCAGCCTCTCATAAATCCCCTCCCTCAAGCCTAATAGGGAAGCCAAGTAGAGGCATAGAACTTGAGGAGAGAAGGGACTATTAGATCATATGAGCTGACCCCCTGAATGTGACAAGTATTTTAGTTTTCTCCAGCTTTTCCTGTCTTGCATTGGCCTTCGGTGAAAATTCTATTTGAAAAAAGCTCATCTTCCCATGAGGTGTCCATCCTTGAGCTGAAAGTGCCAAAACAGGTAGAATCCATCACTTCTTCTGGCATTTTTTCCCCCAAAGTTACATCCCCCTCACTGTTACAATGCTCTACCTGATTTCTAATTAGAACTTGTCTGGCTTCAGCTTTCAGCCACTGGATATCGCCATTTATTTCAGGTATTTCCCAATTCATTTAAAGAGCCTGTAATTATCCAATCTTTTGTCCCCCTGAAGGTACTTACCCTCTGTAGTAAACTCCATTCTTCCTCTTTTTGATATGTTAAAGCAGGGGTGGGCAAAATATGGCCCACAGGCCAGATCCGACCCACAGAGGGGCTTTGTTTGACCTACAGTGGGTCCCTTGGTCCTGCCTGTCCCAGGCACCATCAGCCATGGCGTGTCCTGCCGCCCCCCTGGGCAGGCAGTAGGGCTGAGGTGACTCTGCAGCTGGACTGCTTTTCTAGGCAGCCCAGGCAGTGGCAGCTGCATCCAGCCTCCACTGCCCTGGCCCCAGCCCTACAGTAATGGCAGGGACCCACATGCAACCCCGACCGACCCTGTGACTGCTGCGCGCTCACCAGCTCATGCTAAACAGCAACAACAGCAGTGCCGGCAGGGCAGAAGTGTGCTCAGCACAGGGGAAAAGCAGCCCCTCCCCCTCACTGCTGCCTGTGCTACCTACAGCAGCCATGCAGAGCCCAAGCTGGGCTGCCCTGCATCTCCTACGCCCAGGCAAATAATACTCTGGCATGCATCAATCAATGCCTCTCCAGCAAGACCAAGGAGGTGATTCTTTTGCTCTACTCAGCACTGGTAAGACCGCAGCTGGAGTACTGCATCCAGTTCTGGGCACCACATTTTAACAAGGACATGGACAAGGTTGAGACAGTCCAAAGAAGGGTGACCCGTATGATCAGAGCCTTACACAGAGAGTCATATGAGGAAAGGCTGAGGGATCTGGGACTCTTCAGCCTGAAGAGAAGAAGGCTGAGACGGGACCTGGTAGCAGCTTACTGCTATACTAGGGGAGTATATCAAGGACTTGGTGAGCAACTGTTCACCAGGGCACCCTAGGGGAAAACTAGGAGTAATGGCCACAAACTCCTAGAAGACCAATTCAGGCTCAACATTAAGAAAAGCTTCTTCACAGTCAGGGTGTCCAGACTGTGGAATAAGTTCCCTCCAGAGGTGGTGCAGTCGCCTACCCTGGAAATCTTCAAGAGGAGACTAGACAGTCACCTTGCTGGGGTCACCTGACCCCAGTTGTCTTTCCTGCTTGGTGCAGGGGGCTGGACCCAATGATCTTCCAAGGTCCCTTCCAGCCTCACAATCTATGAATGCTCTGTGCTGCCACCACTGCCCCACTGGGCAGCGCAGAGACGGTGGTGACACTGGTAAAGCCACAGAGCAGCCCAGCATGGGCTCTGCCAAACTGCTGTAGGAAGTGCAGGGCAATGGTGAGGAGGAGGGGCCACTTTTTCCCCACACTGGGCACACTTCTGTCCCACTGGTGCTGCTATTGCTGCAACTGTTCAGCATGAGCAGGTGAGTCTGCAGGAGGCACGGGGTGGGTCAGGTTGGGATTGCACATGGGTCCCTGCCATTACTGTGGCCAGAGGCTGTCTCGAAAGGCAGTCCAGCAAGGAGCCACCACAGCCCCGCTGTGTGCCCATGGGGCTTCAGGACACACCCCGGGTGGATGGTACAAAGCAGGCTCAGGGGCCGGGTCAGGGCTGTATGCATAGTCTGTCTGATCCGCTCCAGCGGGGGTGAGTCTGGAGCAGGCTTGTGGCACACTGGGGCTGCACACTGCTGGCAGAGGTGGGGAGGCAGCGCAGGGCACGTGGGCTCTGGGCTGTTACAGGGCAGGGGCGGGGGTGGGGGCTGACGGGCTTGGGGGCACACACAGGGGTTCCCATGCACACCCCACTGTACCCACAAACCCTCCCCCGCAAACCCCACAATCACACCCTCCCCCACACACACTCACATACCCCACAAACACCGCACCTCCCCACACCTCCCCACATGCACCTCCCCACACATACCCATGGGCCTCTGGGAGGAGCCCTGCTCACTGCTGCCCACATACATCCCACCACACACACACACACATCCCGAGTCACCCTCCCCCTCCACACACCCCACAAACCCCATAACCACCCACTCATACCCCCCACACCCCCCACAATATACAAGAGTAAGACTTCATTTTGAGCTACTGTGCAGTTGTCTTTATTTACACAAAGCAAACACGCACAAATCAGGACAAAAATATTTTTTTTTAAATAAAAAACATCCATTGTGGATGTTTGAATTTTAGTATACAATTTGGTTTGTTTTCCGGTTCCAAGTTGGCAAACCCCCTTCCCCAAAGGAGTACTTCCCAGACAAGGGGAGGGACATCCAGTGGCAAAGGTTAGGGGGGCAGGACTTCCGGTCCCAAGATGGTGACCAGGGGGCGGGGCACCTGTTAAGGGGTGTAGTTACCCTTGCAGCCCTCAACAGCTCACCAAAATTCGTTAAGCAGCCCTTCAGCCAAAATAATTGCCCACCCCTGTGCTAAAGCCTTTCCCATCAGGCATTTTGAAATCCCAGTCATATTGGTAGCTAGTGGTAGGGGAAGAGACTGTACCACAGTGGCATGTGCTTGAATCTTCAGAAGAAAGCAAGGCAAAGGGGCGACTTTAGCAAAAGCAAGCAGAGCAGGCCAAAAAAAATGGGAGAAGTTTCTCTATGTGAAATTGTCAACATTTCCAGCCAAACATTTCAGTATTTCATGAAAAGAAATATAAAAACAATGAAAAGAAATATGAAAACAAAAGGGATATGAGTGAAGAGAAACCAGGCAGTGTCTTTTAAACTCAAACTGCAAAGCTTTCATTAAATTAAAGTTAAGGTTGAAAACTGCAGCCCTCCAACATCAGGAAATTATAACGTGAAACTTGCAGGTGGAATTATGACTCTGCTGCCTTATGGGTGTGTGAATCACTGGGCAGGACCACATCTCGATCAGGGGGCAGCCTGTGAAGCAGCATTGTATGGGGAATGTGGCTAGAAGTTAGGGGGAAGTATAAGCCCAAGGGGTATTCATAGTCTAGGAATTGCACATGTATCGATGCATCACTGACTGATTGGACATTTCCCATTTTCCCTTGCAGACACGTTCGCCAGCAAAGTGGCTGCTACACAGGATCAATACGCAGACGCCTCAATTGGGAACGTCACAGGGAGCAATGCTGTGAATGTCTTCCTGGGGATTGGGGTGGCCTGGTCCATCGCCGCTATCTACCATGCAGCCCATGGGGAAGTATTCCGTGTCTCCCCTGGCAGCTTGGCTTTCTCCGTCACCCTCTTCACCATTTTTGCTTTTATCAGTGTGGGTGTGCTGCTCTACCGCCGGAGACCTGAAATTGGAGGTGAGCTGGGTGGGCCGCGGACTGCCAAGCTTCTGACATCCAGCCTCTTTGTGCTCCTTTGGCTTTTGTACATATTCTTCTCATCTCTGGAAGCCTACTGCCACATAAAGGGCTTCTAAAGGAACAATCAGAGATAGTAAATATATATATCTATATATCTATATATCTATATGTATCTATATAGAGAAATATATAGATATAGATATAGATATAACATGTCTAAAGAACAGAGAAAGAAGAAAAGGCCTTTGCCATGTTCACTTACCTGCTGATGGAATGCAGCTTTGGAGCATTCTTTGTACTAAATAGGAGTAAGAATTCAGCAAGATTCTAAACCAGGGGCAACATCCTATTAAAGGAGGCATGGATACAAGGCCATCTTTGCAAAGCTGCCTGCAAGAGTGTACGGTAATGACTGAGTCCTTTGTTATTTTTTTCCCTCCCCTGGGAGGATTGGCCTGAATGCAATGTGGGCTTTTTTTTTTGATAAGGTGGAGGCCAGACTAGCCATTAAGAAACTGAGTGGTGAACCAGGGAAGGAGAGAAATAAGGTAGCTCATGACTTTCTTACAAAAATCAATTTGCCTTCATGACTTGAGAACATGCATATCTGTCCCCATTGGAGAAAAGCAAGTCTGGACTGAAAAAGGAAGGTCAGGGGTGTGAGAGCTTTCTAAGAATATACCGTAAAGCCTGCTGCCATTCTTGTTTTGATGCCCTGTTGATTAGCCAGTTGTTAGAACACTGAGGTTTGAAAAAAACGGGCAATCTTTTTCCTTATTTATTTTGGGCTGTCTTACGATCAGCATATGATCCTCCAAAGACCCAACCGTCGAGATCAGTGAGCTCTCCCTTTCCTCCCATCTGTGCTCTGTAGACGCGTGTCCAAATCCTTCGTCCAAGTCTCAGTTTCAGTTCCAAAAGAATCTTGTGGGCTTTCCTTTCATCGGCCATCCGCTCCCTGCCCAGCGCAGTGCATTGCTCCTGTCTCATGCTCCTGTTTGGGAATGCTGTTGCGGTACTTGTAACACTTTGCATGAATGAAGCAAACTGTATATGTATATAGCATCGAATAGTGATAGTCCACCCAGCAATGTGGATTGAACGTTGAAGACATGAGTGAGTTTTCTTTTCACCCAGTTTTATTCTTTTTTTTCTTTAGTTTTGTTGGGATAATGGGAGGGAAACAGTTTATCCTTCGTTGCTCTGTGCATGGGTTTCTAAGAAGCAATAATGAAGAGCTATGTGACTGTGGATGTGAAGGGGAAGAATCTGTGCAAAAAACACCATAAAAGGCTTCCAGAGTGAAACAGTGGATCCACTGAAGGCAGTTGTGAGACTCCCATTGCCTTCAGTGGTGCCAGGGTTTCCCCCAAGGTAGTCTGGTCCACAAGTCACTGAAGTCCACGTGCAGAATTTCACTGATTTCAGGAAGTTTTAGCACAGGCCTACAAAGACTGGCATACTGCCTTTAGGGCTGCATCCTGCCTCCTTTGCTCCTGGGTCATAGAACTTGGTTCTACAATTGGTCCTTTAGAAATCAATGGGGCAAAGTCCTACTCAGCCTGATGAAGAGTGGCAGCATCAGCCTCTCTCTATAAGCAAAACATGCCTGGGCTTCACCAGCACCAGTTTTTTCCCAGAAAACTTGTACATTTTCTCTGTCTACCACCAATAGCAGATATCATTATTAGTGAACAGTGGTTGCAGAATCCCTGCTTTCCATTCCTGGTGTCATGTGCACCCGTCACTGATATTCAGCTACAGCCCTGTGAGCAAACATTAAGCCATGAGCAATTGGTGGGTCTTTAAAACTGTATCTCTTCAAGGGTCACTTGAAGACTGAACAGTTCAGTGTCAGGTTTAGAGGAATATCATTGTTTCCAAGCTCTCTGGTGCTCTTGGTTCTGCCATTGCAATGTTCTTACCAGAGAAGGGCAAATCTTGCATTGTCCAGCAGCGAATGCATTTATCACTAGGGATTATTATTTATTATTCACTGCACACCAACAATGCACTCGCTCGATACTATACAATGCACAGATGTCAAGATAATCCCTGCTCTGGAGAACTTGTTTTCTAGATAACAGATATCAGCGACTGAAAAGGAAAGAGCTCCCCCTAGCTTATTTGCTTTTGTTGTGTGTGTTCTTTATGAAGCAGTAACTCAGGAGGAGGGATTTGAACCAGGAGAGGGTTTGGCCTGGGGTTCCACATGTGCAGAGCAACACAGAATGACCTTTAGGAAAAAATCAGAGAAGAGAATCAAGGTTGCAGCCCTAGAGAAGGAAGTGGGATTCCTGAGCTAAACCAGGGCTCAGAGCCTTAAAGCAGTTGTAAAGTGGTCAGGATTCCTGCACCTACCGAATGCATTAGCTTCACAGGGGGCTGCTAAGCCCATCTACTTGGACCATACCTCCCTGCCCCCCCCCGCTTTCCAACTGTTACCTGTGTGATGGATAGCTATAGGTATGCAGATGCACAGGCAGACACAGTCCCAGCTCCTATAGCAAGGTGCACACAAGTGCTACATTTGAGGGCTGGCATGAACACCTTGCACAAAGCAGATGGCAGTTTAAGGGAAGATTAGGGCCCAATCCTGCCATTTAGGTTTGAAGGTCACCTGCTGTGAGTCACCCCATTATCTCTCAAGGAGTCACCCATTGTAAGGAAGTGTGGTAGAACTGGGCCCTAATGGATCATCCTTGCCAAAGTAAATGAGAAGCCAGGCTTCAGGGTCACAACACAGTGGTTCCTAGCATCTCTTCTGCCTCCCTTGTGACTCCCCTAAAATCAATGCGGTAAAGAGAATTTCACATTTAAAGTCCATGGAAAATCTGAGTACCAATCAGAGGCTCATGTGTGTTTGTCTGTATGTGTCTGTGTGTGCATGTATACGTATATACATACATATATGTGTGTGTGTATGAAAAGTATATGCACATATATGTGTACACACATATATATATTATAAAGCTAGATCCTCAATTGACATTCATCAGCATCACTCAGTCAACTTCAGCAGAGAGAGATGCCAATTTGTAAACCCATTGATTATCTGGCCCTAAATATTGCAAAAGAACTGTTCAGCAGAGAAACTGCAGGGATAAAATTCTGCATCTGCCCTCCTCAATGTCTCTTTCATTTGCATTCTTTCCTTGGCCTTGCTTGTAACCCAAGCTAGCCTAAATCATACCCAGCACATCACTTGGTAGTTTCTTCTGATCTAGCTGGAGGTTGTGTCTGACGTTTCTGTAACAATTGGCTGGGGTATTTTGCACTTGTTTTGAACAATCTGTGGAAGACTTTAATTATCCTGTTGTAAGTTTTCATTTAGGAATATAATGAACTTTTTTTGTTCTTGTAGACATGATTTTCACTTTAAAGGGTTTTTGATCCTTTTATTGTTCTTTCTTGGGTAAAAATGAAAAGACTGATTCAGGGTGTTCAGGGTTATTATTGCATTTGTGTACAATGATTTCATTTTCATTTGTTTGCCTTCATTGATTTTTATTTGTGTGTATTGTCCACAACCCTAGTCAGTGAGTACACTAATTGTGATGATCCGTATCTATGGTACACAGCCACACCGAAAAATAAAGTTTCTATTGATTCCTGATTCATACTGTAGTTCTGTTCCATATCCTCTGTGAACCGTCTCATCTCTCTCTTCATTGTCTCTTCTCATTCTTTGTGATTCATTGGTTTGCCTTCATTATGGATCATTAATTGACCAGGCAGAAACAAGGGGCATCTTGACAGACTCAGTTGCAAATGTCAGGCACAAAGACATAAACGCTCCCATTTTAACACTGCAGGACAGAACCCCTTCATGTCCCAGGCTTCCCCCCATGCTGAACCTCACGTTGTGTCACTTCTACTATGGTACTTTTCCATTTTCTGCCCCTAGCTCATCCCTTTAGCTTCCCATGTTCTATCCTCATTGCTTCATCACACTTTAAGCTCTGTGCCCAGATTCATGCTCACTTGGAAACATCTTTTCTCTCTGGATATGCAAGGAGATAGCACTAGTCAAACTGACACATGGAGACATCCCAAGAAGAGAGAAATGACTACAGCCTTTTGTGGCATAACTTGTCTTTGATCTGCATCAACTCTCCCAACACTGCCAGTTATTTCTTTGCACCTCAGAGGGATTATATAGCCCTGAGTCTTGACACCTGTTACTTATTTAGGCCTTCTGTTCTCATTTGAAGTCTTATGTTGATCTGAGTGAGGCATAGGATTAGGACAGTAGCTCACAATTGGCAATATAATAGTTAATTTTACTAACGTGGGACCACATCTGCTGCTCTGGCCTTCATTTCTACATATGTATTTTTGCACCCACAGTAGAATTCACCCACAAACATGTGCGCATGACCTGCCACATGCATGTTGGCAGGCAGCTACAGCCTTGTGACCAACTACCTGATGTGGCCCAGTCCAGCATGTAACTCCTAGCTGTTGCTTTAGCAATCTGAATTGCTTGTAAAGGTAGAGGGGTGGTAGTGGATGCTGGGGTTAGGCTGGGTGCATGCATGTCCTCAGTCTTCTGGCTTCATAATATGCTCTGTATTCTTGAGGAGCAAAGGGTTTGAGCAACCTGCATCATCAAGGTAGACACTGCTCTGTCCTTGGGGAGCTCATGCAGCTGGCCCTGCACTTCACTTCCCAATGTTGTTTCGTTAGAGGGCTGGAACCAAAGACCTTATGAGCATTCCAGTCTGATCCAGCACCCTGTCCCCCCATGACTTCAGCGAGCACTGTTTTAGGCCTCTGGGGCTCCATTCTGAACGTGCACCATATGTCATGTCAATCAGTGGGGATGCACTCAGTCCACAGGGAATGCTTTCAGGGCTGCCACTGAAGCCACGATTCCCTCTTGGGCATCATTCTCTAACAAAAAGCCCTCTCTGAAGCCCTCTGACATCCTAGCAAGGCTTTGCCATTCACTGACAATACTAAAAGCACTGGCTCCTTACAGGCATTTATCTTCCAGTGTCATCATTAAACAGCCCAAAGTTTCTAATATGTTTGGCAGTAGCACACAGGTGAGAGCAAGTGTTTCATTTGGTAGCAATGTGTATGAATAGCAGAATTGCCTGTAAGTAAAGGTATTGCCAGGGCAGAAGTTTGTAAGCAAAAAAACAAAGAGGGAGAAGGCATTAAGTTTTCTTACTTGAGTTGTTTGCCAGGGGACCCATCCAATAGATCCCCATTGACTGTGCTGAACCTGGATCTGGCCCTAAAAGAACAGCAAAGGCAGAATGTCATCCACTTGCAAAAGCCTATTTCATATCTTATGGCAGAAGTGGCCAACCTGTGGCATGGATGCTACAAGTAGCTCAGGTATCCTGTGCAGGTGGCAAATAGATCAAGGAGGGGATAGACAACCCAGCAGCAAGGCAAGAAGCAGAAAGCAGAACAACAGATTAGGCAGGGAAAGGGGATCAGTGAGACAAATACAGAGGGTGCTGGGCTAATTTGTGGCACACCTGCCCAAGAAGTCTGGCCCATGCTACCCTACAGATTCATTTTTGCTCCACCATTTAGCCAAAGGTTCTGAATGGACAGTTCAGTCCAAATGTAAGGCTTCAAGATCCGGACCAGGAAAGCTTCCTTCTCAATAGCTAGGATTTTTCTTCCTTCCCCAAACCATTAGACACTTCCTGATGGAGATTCACTCACACCATATGAAGATTTGTGTTTTCCAGTAGCACCCCAGCAGCAAGACATTTAGTTTCTAATGTGACCATGCAAGTCACAGGTAAAACATGCACTTCATTCCTACCCTCCAGCTCTGGCTGATCTGTAATTCCTCTGTGCATTAAGCTGCCACTGAAAATTTCTGCCTTTCTTCTAAGCAGAACTACAGCTTGGCTCACCCTGGGCCTCATCTAGCTTGCTTCACTCAAGAGTTCTATTGCATCCATTACTGCAAAGGCCTAAATTAGCACTTAGATGGTGTTAATTACTCTCATAGGTAATCTGCTCAAATGCTTCTTTTTAATGGGATCCTCCACATTAGTGTAGATTTAAACTCTTCTGAAACTCCTTGATATGAACAAGTGCTTCTCAGAATAACTCAGCTCAGAAACACTCTGTGCAACATTTTGCAAAAGGGGCAGCCTTTATCTTTGTTTCTCAAACTCCAGTGAGAGTCCATTTTGTGTGTGCATGTGTGTGTGCATGTATGTGCACATGTCTAGTTCAAAAATGAATTAGAAAGATATGTGAAGAATATTTAACCTCACCTCAAAGGCAACACTCATTAGTCCTATTGGCATTCCAGTGATATAATATACCTCAGTGATCAAGAAAAGACCAAGAATCCAAATAAGCTAATCATCTGTAAGCCACAAGAGAGGCCTTTTGGTACCTTGGTCTAGAGTTTGCCTCTCACTCTGGTGTAAATCCAAAGCAGCTCCACTGAAGCCAGTGGATTACTCTGGATTTGCATTGATATAAGTGAGATCAGAATCTGTCCCCCTATGACTAGAATAGGCTAAAAGAGTTTGTGGGGAAAACCTGAAAAAAATATTAAATGTACTTTTAAATATAATTTATTCAACAATACGCTCTATTTTTTCCTATCAGCCAACATGTGGCAAGAACTTCAGGAGTCATTAATGGCAACAAACATCACAGAGGGGTTAGTGATCTTCACATAACAGGGCCTCAACCAGCCTTGAACTCCGTAGATTTCAGTGTGAGAAGTGGGTGCTGGACATTGTCAGAGACAGGACACTGGACCAGAGGGACTTCAGCTCTGATCCAACATTCCTCCATTCCTAAATGACAGCAAGTCCCATGTTGTTGTAAGCCCAGCCTGTGGGGAGCTGATTAGGCAGCCCCCTGGGCAATTTTAAAAGGTATAAATGGCCCATTTAGAGCCACTGAGCGCCTAACTCCCAGATGTACCTTTGAAACTCTCTCACTTAACCAGATTTAGCCCAGTGCTGCCCTTCCTAGGGTCACCTTCCATGAGTCTTCAGGTGCCTCCAAATAGATCTCTTCCAGCATAGGCAGTGTACCTGGGGGGAAATGAGGGGGTCTTTATGGCACAGCATGTGCAAACAAGATTCCTGCCTCAGCTTGTTTGCTCATCCCTAGTCTAGGAAATCTCAGTTAGCCCATGCTTAAGCCATTGTTGATACTGCTGGTCCCAGTCAGGTAGAGACCCCCTCAGAAGACAGAGTTCTTACCCCAAGGTCTTCTACTTTCATGGAAACACTTAGGTTTGTAAATTGTATCCTGGTCATGGTTAGTCCCAGTGGGATCACTCCCTTGGAAAAAGTCACTCACCTGTATGTTTGCAGAATCAGCATCTTGAAATATGTAATAAAGTAGGCAGGTATCCCCATCAGAGGCCAGCTTTCACTCTGAAGGGGTTTGAAATGCCAGACTGAGAAAGATAGAAAGTATAAGAAGGCAACTGGATTTTTCTGCAACCCAACATTTGTCTGCAGTAACATAGATGCATTAAGATGCCCAGTGAGTGAGCATGACTTCTCTCTACAGCCCTGATAGCTGAATTCCCCAGCATTAAGTGTGACAAAGCAGATAACCAATGCAATGCTGCAATCACATGTTTTGATGTGTTTGCCAATCTGTTATGAAAGAAAACCGACTTCTCTCTTGGGCTCAATCCTGCAAGGTGCCAAGAGCTTTTGATCACCTGCTCTAATCCCACCCAGTCCTCTGAAAGTCTGCAGTTGGCAGCAGGTGCTCAGTACCCATCAGGACATGGTGCTTCCTCCCTTGCCAGATTGCTCAGGGTTATTTTCCAGAATTTATTAGGCCATCTGAAAAAGCAGACAGTAGGTTCTGGGTTTTTCCAGGCAATGAATCCTGAAAGCAATGCAGCTTAATGACTTGGTAATTACATTTTTCAAAAGGTGATGTTGTTATTTCAATATCATCATTATTTGCTTCTTTAGAATGAATTGTTGTTTAGCTAAAGTTATTAACAAATCAGAGGGGACTTACCTATCATCTCAATTAAACCAGCAGTAAATAACAGCTCTGTTCGAAGATCAACCAATAGGGAATTAGGGAATGATGCTTTCATAGTGCCACATACACCTGAGAAATATAACAACAAAGATCCTTATCCCTTTGCTAACCATTTATTTAGTAGCCACTTCCCTAAGCCTATTAAAAGTTTGAAATGCTGCCTGGCAAATGGATTGTCTAGTGAATCAAAAAAAATAGCTGACAGTCTTTACAGTAATGCTAGTTATTTTAACTGGAGGGTGCCCCTCACCAGTTTCCAGTCTGAAAAGTATTCCAAGCCTCCAGAAGATTTATAGAAGCTGGTCCCATACTGTTGCTGTTCCATCTTAAAATGATGGAACAGCACTTTGCAGGTGCATCCGCATAACCTTTGCCACCGTTAATAAAAACTGCCCTTTGACATTTTGGGGACCATTAAACAAAATGCCAGAAGGTCAGGAATCCGTTGTATCACTTTAGCCACAGGCAGGCACCACATTGTGAAGCTGTCAAAGTAGATGTAGGCATAAGCTAGAGAAGTATCGGATCAGTCAGATTTTGGCCTGCAGTGCACATGCCTGCAGCCTCCTTGGCCAGCCCATAAGTGTGTGGGGGGACATGGAAGGCAGAACCATTCTCACTACTTTCACACGTTCCTAGAAGATTTCCTCCTCTGCCCCAGCAAAGCCCTGGGATTGCCTGGTGCTAAATGCACAGTATGTGCCCATAAGCAATAAGCTATTCTGACCCCAATTTCTAGCACTGTTTGGTCCCCCTGCCCCAGTGCAGAAATATCCAGAGCAGCAATTGTACTGAAAAGCCTGCTACTCCCCTGATCTAAATAAAGCAGCTTTCATCCAGCCATAGGATGGCTCTGGCACCTGCAGAGAAAGGCCAGGTAATGACCAGATAATGCATAGGGGCATGGCCCAGAAGCTCTGTGGAAGCTGTGGGGAGCACCAAAGAGGCAAAGAGACCCTGGGCTTTCTGCATGGATGCTGTCCAGATTCCCTGCCCTTGAAACACTAACTGTTTTCCAAGCTGTGTTGCCCTGGCTGGTGACAGCGCATGGTCTTACGTGATACATTATGTTTTCCTCCCCTAGCATCTCTTCCTATGCTAGGAGAGGGGAATGTGCCATGCAGCACAGCGATTTCCTGACATCTTCAGCCCTGTACCAAGCAGCCTTCCAGCAGCACATCTCTGTGCAGCCCCACATAATACAACAAGGCTGTATGGTGGCCTCCCTTCTCACTTGGGCCCTAGGTGTGTGAGATCCAGAGGCACACAGGGCCCTGGGCAGCTGCTCTCTACTGCCCACATCATTCTTGCAACTCCCTCTTTTCCAGCCAAATGAGAGAAGTGAGCAACAAACAGCTGGTGTAGCCAAGACATCGCTTGTTCTACCCACTCTAAATGTCAGCTCCTTCCTTTTCTGAAGGCCTGGAATTCCATTTTCATTCTGATTCTATTTTCGCTGGTGTATTTGTCTCATGAGCTGTCAACACTGGGCAGGCTGTAGGAAAGAGCCCTGGGGAGCCTCACAGAAACGGGTGGGATGAGGAAAGGCAAGAGATGATGCTAAAGTGAACTAGCCTTGTTCACTCTAACTGTGCTGTAGCCTCCTTTGTCCCAGCAGTTGTCCCCCTTCAGCCCATATTCCTAATCACTCCCTTCCTGGGTTCAGTCCCAGGGGACTGGCTGCCAAAACATCCTTCCTCCAGGCAGTGGGAGGTGGTCTCCAGCCCTGGTGGTACTTGGCACATCCTGGGGAAAGCAGCCAAGCTAACCCTACCATGGGACTCTGCCATCTGAGCCTTGAGTGAAACCCTGTCTGGGTACATTTGAGTTTTCTTACTACATTGTCCCCGCTCACCGTAACCCCACCTGTTACTTTCTGCCTGGCATGTGAGACAAAAGAGAAGCAGAGCAAACAGGGACAGAGTCAGATAGTGCCAGCTAAGCCATCCCACATCCTTCACACCTCCGGCTTGGACTGCACCAACCTCCCCTTACCCAGAAGCTGCAGCTCCTTTGTCAATACTGGGCAGCAGTAGTGCCCTTCTGGAGCCAGCCCCCTTGTTCAAGCCATCACACAGCTGTAGGAGGACTTTGTGCCATCCCCAGAGCCAGTAGGAGGGCAAGAATTCACAATTCATGCTTCTCTGCTGTCCATCTCCTCCCCTTTTCTGGGGTGGCCCTGTTCATGACCTTTAGACTTCTCTGCATCCTTTTGAGAAGGAAAACTGGCTTCACTCCTGCCTTGGCTCTCATCTGGCATTGCTTTCACCTCAGCTTTATCTGTGGTCCTGACAAGACAGGTAGAAGCCATGCGATCCTAGGTCTCCAGTCCTGAACAAGGGTATCAGACACTTGACTGTAGGGCCACCACCGATTGTAAGGCAGGTTGCTTACATCTCAGCTGTGGGAAGAGTCCTGGAGACTCCTGCATAGCACTTGTAGCCTGAGGCATTTCAGTATTAGGCTCTCCCTTTCAGAAAGATGGTTTAGGACTTGATTTTCCTGGCAGTGGTTCTGGGCCCAGACAGTCTCCTTGATCAGGACCCACTCGTATTTTATGCTTAGATTGAAACTGGGCTCCAAATGAATCCACTCAGGGGCCAGCTGCTTTCTGGCAATGAGGAAATTATGTGCCACCCAGTCTTCACAATGAGCTTCTGGTGGAAACTGTCAAACACTGCAGGGCACTAACCCAGGGATGGGGGACGCAGGATTCCTCATTAACAGTGGAAAAGCATACCAGCCCCACTATCACAAGCCATTCCCCAAAAAGATGCGATACAAGAAAGCACCAGGAGTGACATGTTATAAGGTGTTCACAGTTGTCCTAACTGTCTTCATTGAAGGCAGTAGAGTAATTCCCTTCCGCATCAATGAGAGTTTGGCCCAATGCTGAGCACATTTGGAAAACCCAGTGTACAATGCACCACCCTTGCTGTGCAGCACATGGGCATCCTCCAGCCCTCCACAGCACAGCCCTACACATGAGTGGGAAATACCATTCACAAGCACCAGGCAAAATAGGAAGCGCATGTCAGTTAGGCCTGGCAGTGGCAACATGTTCCCTTTTTGTGCTTGCCCAGGAAAGGAATTTCTGCTCATAAGAACAAACAAACAAAATTAATTTCAAATCCCACACCCTCCAACAGTCACTTCATATTACAGGGAATTTGGATGGGAAGAAGTATTAGTCATATGGCACTAGCACCATAGAGCCTTAGACATGGAACAGGACACCTCAGTGCTAGAGACTGTGCAAAGACAGAACAAAAAAATTGTCCCTGTTTAAAACTGCCTACAATCAAAGTAGCTTGCTGACTGTTTAAGGGCTATAAGTTAAGTGATAGCACTACAGGAAAGGAGGAACAGCAGCAGGAAGAGCTTAGTCATAAGAAGTTCAGGGCATCTCAGTCCACTTTTTCTTAGGTGCGGTCAAAATGAGCCTGTTCCTAATTCTGTCAGTTAAATGGGCCATCTTTTCCATGGCAAGCTGTGCACGGCTGTCCCCATGCTACAGGTCGCTTGTGCTGAAAAGTGCATGCTTAAAATGAAGCTGGGTTACTAAGAAAATTGATTCATTGGGAGGCAATCAGCACTGCTATTTGTACCCATCCTATGAATGCAAAGCAACAACTGGTCTGTAACAAAAAGGAAAAAAAATATCAGAGGAAAATCTCCAGAACACACATCATTGACAGCACCACTGAGTCTGTTTGCCACTGCTGACAGGTGTTAAGCTTACTGTGCTCAAGCTCAATGGCAGGCTTTTGCTCTGTCCATGACTCCCTCATACACCAGCCCATTGACATCAAATGCAAGTACCAACAAAAATAAGCTCCTTACTGTTCATGGGAAATTTTAGCACCAAAAGGGGCCTCCCATGTCTTCAAGTCCAGTCCCCTCTTATCCATGCTCTGCATCTCCTACCCCTTTTCAAGTTCCACCTTGTCCCCAGTACTCAAGTGGGAAGGGTGTTCCCCAACCTCATTGCTTGAAGGAAGGTCTTCTGTTTCCCTTTCTCCATTTCCCAGGAGAAGCCAAACATCACTTGAGCAAGCCCCTTGCTCATTCCATTAGTGTCTCGCTTGTCCATGGAGTGAAGGCAGTTACAAATAGAATAATGACTGATTAACACAGAGGGGCAGGACCCCTAAACATGTTCCCCAGGCCAGTGCTCAGAGAGCTGACTTCACACTCCCCACTTCACTTAACACAAGCCTCTCCACACTGTGATGAGTATTAATCATAGCAGTTCAGTAGTATGTAGAGATGCCAAGCAGGGGTGGGGATCTTATCCATGCTTGGGGCTGCATGTATATATAGTACATCCATAACCCTTGCCCCAGGCTAACTGGTTGGAAAGAGGACTGGTAAATGGGGAGGGGTACTAGAAACCAGGATAACAGCAAATCCACATAGGAAGTTGTATGGGAGAGGAGTCACAATGTAAAAGCAACACCTTCCCAGAATACCTCCCCTGTGGGCATTCTTATC